TTAATTTTTTGACAGAATATGTAAAAAAGTCTTTTGTCTGTGAGTGTGTTTCACCTAAAATTGTATAAGATTGTAGAAGTTTAAAGGTGGCCAGGGGTTTTTAGCAGACCAGGCTTTTAGCAGACAAAAAATTATCCAATCAAAAACTTTATTTTTTTGGAAAAAAAAAGAATAAAAAATCAAATAATTAATTTTTTTCGACTGCCTAACAGCAAAAAAAGCAACGGGCCCAACACAATTTTAGCTTATAGCTGAAGGTTTATAGAGTTTGTCGACAAATCAAGGCAATTACTTCCCAATATTTCATCTTAGATCAATTTCCAACAAAACATAAAACTTTCAGTCTCAAAAGATTCTGGTCCAGGTTTTGAAAATTTCATGTCATCAGAGGCGGATATTTCGCTTGACTTAGGCGTCAAACATGGTCCCCACAACCCTTAAATTCCAAACATAATCAGAAATTGTTCCAAACGTTCACTTTTTGCTCACGATTTCTTGAATTTGTCTTAAAGTTTTTGCTAAAATTACAGTGGTTTTTCCATTCGGTATAAAGGACAGACTAAAATTATTTGGATAATTTTTAAATTTTTGAATCAACTAAATGCAAAGTGTTACAACCAATTTCCTGAACTTTTCGCAAAATGAATCGAGAATAAAGAAACCAACAAAGTTCAAACAGCCAGTTTTATTAATAAGTCGCCAGTTTCACTGGAGATCAACAATGGCCGCAAAAGTCACAATTTCGTTTTCTTGATGTAACAGGAATTTCTTTTATCACAATTCAAGGTTCATGGAGGCTCATTTATCCCTTAGGAGAAATTTTTGGGGGCAATTACTAATTTTCGGGTTTCTTTTGAGGCCAAACTTTTACCTTGTTTTTTGGGATCTAGGATGCAAAAAAAATCTACCTGGTCGGAACCATCGAGAAGTTCGTTAGAAAAATTTTGCAGTATGTTTTTGTATGCATTTACCAAAGTTGCGATTAGATCAGTTTTGTTTTTGCTTAAATTTTTTTGTTTGTGATGCTCTAAATTACTATCGCTGGAAGGGTAATTTATTATATTGTTCTGTTGTGAATCGAAAAACTTTAAGCAAGAGTCGATTTAAGTGCATTTGTAATATCGCGTACACTCTTTTTTATAATTTAAATTTAAAAAAATATTTCTGAAAAGGTTTTGACCTCGATTTTTTTTAAACCAAATTTTTGAAAAACTAAATCAACAAAGCTGAGAAACAGCTTAAAATTTATTGAAAGAAGTGAGAGAGGAGTTGACAACCCCTGAAATATATGACTGAATTACTCACTCAGCTAACTTGTCACTTAAGCCTGCTAGTCATAATGATTTGTTTTTTTTTGTCAAAAGACTGGTCGGCTGAAAAAACTAGCCCCCGGTCGCCAATTTGACAATTTGGATCATAAACGCGTGATAAATAATTTCGTGCTAATAACGCATAAGCAGTGGTTTAACAAATGCTGCTCTTGGAATTTTTTTCATGCTTTGCTATATTTGAATTTTATCACTTAGTAACTTAACTTATCGTGTGGCGGGACAAAGTTTAAAAAATTACAAAATTTTTTCCTTGATGTACAATATTCTTTTCAAATTTTTAACAAGGTTACCGTTTTCTATAGAGGTAACAGGCTGCTGGTCGAAACATTCAGGCTGCTGTTGCATGAATTGTTTTTCTACGCACTTACGAATCAAAACTCTAACCTCGTTAACCAAAACAAAAAATCTTTGATAAACTGAAACTATCTAATTAAAAAAGAATAAATGCATAATAGTTTGTTGGAGATTGGCCAGATGCTTCTCTCTTACTGAACTCAAGCGCTTATCTAGAATTTTATACTCAGTGAGATTTTGAAAAAGCTTCCAAATACTTCTTGACCTGTTTCAGTTCAATCAAAATAATTATCTGACCTCTCCTAAGAAAACCAAGACAAAAATACAAAAACACTCCATTCCGATTGAAGAATTTCACGAAAATCTACCTGATTTACTACAATTTTGCTTCAACTTTTTACAAAGATATCAGTTCAACGCCTTAGCAAGGGCACAATATTTTCAAGGGCACAAAGAAAAACAGAATTTATTGAAGTCAAATGATCGCAAGTTTTCAAGAATGTAGTTTGAGGTAAAAAAAAAACAGTAAAATGAAGTGTTAAACTGCGATGAATTTAAAAACAGAGACCAAAAAGTCTCATAAAAATTGTCTCATAGAAATTTTGTTCTGAAATGTAACATTTTATGAAACGTAATACGTAGCAACTGCACTAAACAGGAAATAAGATAACTTTAAATAAATTGTAAATTTCATGAATAAACCCTCGAAAAAATCCATTATAATCGATTAAAATCGATTATAATGGATTATATTGACAAAAAAATATTAGGATTATAATCCATTTTTAATTGATTATAATAGATTATTTTGTCATTTTATTGCGGACCATATTATGACAATATAATCGATTATGATCCATGGGCGCTCGGTGCGGGAATCTATTATAATCTATCAAATTCCAATATAATCGACATAAAATTAAAGTTTTTTAATGGATTTTTTTCTCCATATAATCGATTATTCTACAAAATTACCAGATAATTGATTATTAAAAAATCAATTTTTTGTTCGACCACAAAATCGCCAGATAATAGATAATAATCGGAGAAACTTCGGTGCGGGTTTGCAGCCGGTTCTTCCGAACAGCTACTTAAACCGAACGAATTGATTCAAAATCCTAATTAGAGACAACTTTCTTGTCATCGCTTGAGCGAAAAATCTTTCTGTTAATTATAATCAGGAAAGTCTTTATAAAGAAAACAAATCAGAAGGTACCATAACACTGCTTTCTTGACGCCAAAAGTCACAATAAGTGGCACGGAGCGAGGTCGATTAATTTTTACCCTCTGTATCCTGGCATTCAAATAGTCACTAACTGCCATGATAAGTTTTTTCATGATAAGTCAAAACTGCACTTTAAAACTTTCGTCTACAGGATGGATGTAAAGAGGCTAAAGTTCAAAAGTTTTTTTTTCACATCAAAATTGATAAAAACACTTGTCAATTTTGTCATATGGCTCATCAAAATAAAAAAGCGTTTGGGTAATAATGTAACGATTTTGCATGAATCTATGTTTTTCAGGGCTTATGAAACCTGTTACTTCGGCAGAGGCGAATTTTTAAAATTTTGCGCTCCAAGATCAAAAAAGTTTTTTTGTCGAAAACTTTTTGGCCGGTAGTTTTCGACATTATTGGTTAAACCTGACTTATGAATAGATGTAGCACATGAAAATTTTCAGATCTATAGCCTGGTCGTTTCTGAAAGTTTCACGTTGAAAAGAGCCTAAGCTATGAGTAATAACTCTTCCGTGCCTTTTTTAGGAAGAAATGAAGGTAATTCATCCACTGTGCAAAAAGTTCAGCTATCGCAAACACAAAACAAATTTTGATTTTATGTGCTTTTTAAAATCTTCTTCAAAAAAATTCTCTTCAGTCTCAAACATAGCAAAAAAAAATTTGGGCAGAAGAACCAAACTAAAGAACTGATTGAACGAATTTGCTTTTTCATTATGAGTTTTCGCTGTTTTACCGGACGATGTCATGATGACAGGTTAACTTGATTTTTTTTTGCTTAAAAGTTATCTAGAAGTCAAAAATATTTTTTTTGTCAGTGAGATTAATTTTTTCAAAAAAAAATTCAAATGATAACAAAATTTGCAGACTTAGATTCTGCAGAATTATTGACAAACGCCAAGACATCGACGTTTGCAGCTTCCTAATTGTTGAAGTACTCTTGTATAGCAGAGGCATCGTTTGAGTTGAAGAAAAATATAGTGCATATATTCGACTCGATATATTTTCATTCTCGAGGAAGCAATGGCATTTAATAGTAGCTTATAGCGGCACAAATTGAACACTTTACTATTTTTTTTTTAAAATAAGATAATCAAATAAATTACACAATTGTAATTTGAAGAGTTTTGTATCCCCAGAAGCTCAGGAAACAGAAGAAGCCTGGCGCAGTACTCAGTGCGTAATTTTGATTGGAAGTTAACTGTGAAATGATCCTTCATTGAGACTAGGGCTACAGATTAAGTCAAACTATCATAATTTCTATATACAAAATGTTTCTTTCTCGATGAGTAGGTTGAAGCTCTAACTGATTAAGACACTATGGTCCGCTAGTAAAATGAAAAATCATTTTAAGAAGAATCGCTGGGGTGAAAAAGCCCCATCAACTCCAGGTAAATAAAAATTAATTTAAAACTTTATAAATTACTAAAACCTATAGCTTTACAAAGACTCAATGTTGCCAAAGTTTTTGGCCATGCAGGCAAGTTTTTGTGAAACCGTGTCAAAACTTTCTGCAACGCGCGCGCTCCTCAAAAATAGTCTAGATTGGGCTTAAGAAACTTTTAAATATTACGGGGAAGTAGCAATATTTGCCGTGCGATTTGTCGTAATAATACCTGAAATAAGTTTACCCAATTGATAAAAGAAGAATTATGATTTGTAAAGATGATAAAAAAATAGTTGTCTGCTGTAGTGTTATTGATTAGGACTTATACGCTGGTTTTTCCTCCCCCCCCCCCCCCCCCCACCTGCAAAATTTTACTAGTAAAAATTATGTTCACTTTGTTCGATTGTTATGAAAATTGACATACGGACTAAATAAGTTATGACAAACATATTTGGTCTTCATAATTAACCTTGTAAAACCCCCGGTACACCACCATAAAACTCATGTTCGTTGAGGTGGGGAAAAGGAAAAAGAGCCGAATGTTTTCCCGGCGCTTCTGTACTTTTTTCGGACCATTTGGGGGAGGGTGTTAACTTGGTTCTGAGTTCGAATTTTCAGCCAATCAGAATAGAACATTTTACATGCGGCGCTAAGTAGATTCAATTTAAAATGAACGCTTGGGTGGATGATCTTAACTTGGTCTATTTGGGAGGGGGGATGCTGACTTGATCCCGTTATTCTTCTCATGTTTCAGGCGTGAACGACAAAAAAGCTCCTTGGAATCAGATGCGTCTCCCCCACACCCTGTATCCACTGAGTTACCACCTGAATATCAATCTCCAGATGGACTTTTTCCGAATGACTGGATCAGTATCCATATTTCTAATGTGTACTCAGAATGCGACTAGTGTTATAGTGTTGCACCATCGGCCTAATTTCGGATCTGATAGTGGCTATCAAGGGAGGGGACAAACTGGTCTTGGAAACCCTGCAGGCGGAAGATATGAGGTTCGTTGGAAATTTGCTGCGGTTATTTTCGTTGATAACAAATGGAAAATTCAAGAGAGCAACATTTAGATAGTTTTTCTGAGCATGTTGTAGTAGCATAAAAATTTGTGCCAAACTTGTGACTCGTTTTCGCGGGATTATTAAAATACAACAACCTAAGCTTTATTCAAAGAAGAATTGCGGTATGCTGCGCAAATAGTAGGATTAGGTTCCACCAGCAATCGTCGCTTTAACAATGAAACACGAAAGTTAGTATATCAGGGCAAGTCCTGAATGTTCCCACTGCACTTTAAATCCAATTTAAAAGTGGTTAAAAATTTTTTATCCCCCACAAGCTATTTAGCGTCTCCTGTCTTAATAATAAGACCAGATGACTTGCTTCAATCGAATTTGGAATAATTTATTTCACCACTTACAAATTATATTGCGCCTAGTTATCCCGAATTGACCAGGCTAGCGATTTTTTCCCCGTACTTTTACACAAAAATTCACAGGTGAAATATCCTGTGACTTTTGAGCTCCGAGCAACGGTATTTCAGATGGTAGAAAAAAATCTTTGGAAAACGCATAAAAGAAAATTGACTAAATAAAAAACCATTCCAAGCATAGATTTTCTATTATTTTTTTCTAAAGTCAGAACAACAAGACTACTCTTATCAAAAGTTACTGCCAAAAATATCGGACCAAATAAGTGATTAGCTTTGAAGCTAATAACGAAATATTTGCAATAGTCAGCTTGCCTCAATCAAATTGAGTTCTGAGCCAGAATATTTCACTATAGGTACATATAAAAAATGGGAGACTTCAAAGGAATTATATATTCCAAATTTTCAAACCCCCATAAATTACGAACAAGACTGCTCGTATCAGGGCGAAGCCCTGAATATCCCGACAGCCTTTTAAGGTTTATGGAGCAGTAATAACATTAAAAAATTATATGTAAGAAAAAAAAATGAAAAAAAAAAAATTTCTTAAATTTGAAATTTTTAATAAAAATCATCCCCCAACACGCCATACAAAGTACAAAAGGATAGATTTTGCTCCTTGTAACAAACCAATTATGGCGAATAAGCTTTTAACCAATTTGGAACAATTTCTAAGACGGATTAACTCTCCGCTTACGCGTTAATTGTCCCAAATTGGCCAAAATGGCAATCTTAAAATCCCCATAACTTTACGAAAAATGATCACAGGTGAAATATCTTTTCAAATTTGAGCTCAGGACAACAATACCTTTCGAATGATATTTAAAAAATTCCGTCAAAAAGTCGAAATTTGTCTGAAGAAAAAAAACCCACCCCGAGCACAAATATTCCGTTACTTTTGTATCGAAAGTCGGAACAAAAAACTTGTCGGCAAAATTTGTTGAAAATTTTCAAACTCACGCATCAAAATGCTTCAGAAGTAAAAAAAAATCCCCAATAAAATTATTTCTTGAGAAAAAAAAAACACCACACGCACAGATATTTTGTCTCTATCATCGAAGGTCGGAACAAAAAAAACTAAAAGAACATTTTATGTTTGAATAATTTTCGAATCCTAGTGTAATTTTATTGGGATAAATTTGTGTATATGGCTTTTTAATAGATTACAATGCTTCCATTTTCATGTTGGTATAAATTATTCTGGTTGAACAGAAAGTTTCCTTTTGCAGAAAAAACTATAGAATTTGTTATGCATCAATGTACCAAAGAGCTTAAAATTTTAAAGTGAGTTTAAAATATTCGTTATGTTTGAATGCTTGAAGAAAGTAGCTAATTAGATGTTTTTTTTTTACTTGCTAGACAAATTTTCATTGAGTTTTGCCATCTTAGCTAATTGAGATAATTATTGCCCGCAATGTTCCCAATTTTTTATCAACTCATATCGTATGCAACGAGTCAACGTGGCTAAGGAATCTTTCTTTAATGAAACAAGACTTCTCGAATTAGGGCAAAGATTTATGCCTCACTTTGTTCGAAGGTAGGAACAATAAGGATAGCTAACTGATCCTAGTATGGCATTACTGTGCTCAAAACAAACCAATAGAGCGTGTGCGAAGCAACAAAAGTATATAACTTGCCATAAGGACTGGCACAAGCTTTAATAAAATTGAACCCTGACGCGAGCAGTCTTGTTGTAAGGACATGCAAAAATATCACAAGTATGGTTGTTATTGAGACTTTATTATATGTACGAAAGGTTGCCAAAAGAGTTGCGTGGTAATGTATTGACTTTTCTAAAAAAAACTTTGATTGTATTGGAGTTTTGCACAGAAGCGTTTAAAAAAGGCAAAGTCAATATTTCAATCTCAAATGAGACTTCAATTGAAAATAAAAACTCCAAAACTTCTTCTCAACACCTATTAAACCGAGTTCTGAATGTTCAGACTGCCCATAAACTGGTCTCGAATAATTCTTGGTTAATGAAATAACCACAAACTCTTGATTTTAGCCTAAATATTAAGAATCGTGTATGGAATTATAAATTAGCCTGCCTCAATTGATGTGGAACATTTTTTGGTGCGGGATAGTTCGAAACGCGCGAAAAATGCGCGTTAAACTTTCCGCATCAAAGTATCACTGTGCTCTTTTAGTCACGTCTCTACTGCACGTTTCACTGCAATGGCTAAACTAGGTTAGTCTAGTGGTGAGCCCGACCACAAAAGTCATCATAGATTCCTGTTTTTGAGGTTTGGTCTGAATAAAAAAACCACCCCGAGCAAATTTATGCCTTTCTTTCTTCGACGGAAGGAACAATAAGGATAGCTAACTGATCCTAGTATGGCATTACTGAGCTCAAAATAAACCAATAGAGCCTAAGTGAAGCAACAAAAGTATATCAATCGCCCAAAGGACTGGCACAACAATTAATAAAATTTAACCATTACGCGAGCAGTTTTGTTGTAAGGACGTGCAAAAAAATCCCAAGTATTGTTTTTATTGAGACTTTATTGTTCCGACTTTCGATACGAAAGTAACGGAATATTTGTGCTCGGGGTGGGTTTTTTTTTCAGACAAATTTCGACTTTTTAACTAGCCATTTTACGGAATTTTTTTGTATCATTCAAAAAGTATTGTTGTCCTGAGCTTAAATTTGAAAAGATATTTCACCTGTGATTATTTTTTCGTAAAGTTATGAGGGTTTAAAGATTGCCATTTGGGACAATTAACGCGCAATATAATTCGCGCTATTAACGCGTAAGCGGAGATTTAATCCGTCTTAGAAGTCGTTCCAAATTGGTTGAACGAAGCTTAATTGCCAAAATCTATCCTTTTGTACTTTATATTGCGTGTGGGGGGATGATTTTCATTTAAAAAATTCAAATTTTAGAAGAAAAAATTTTCATTTTCTTTTGTTTCATTTAATTTTTTTATGTTATTGCTGCTCCATAAACCTTAAAAGGCAGTCAGAACATTCAAGGCTTCGCCCTGATACGAGCAGTCTTGTTATAATTAAGAAAGGTTGCCAAAAGAGTTGCGTGGTAATGTATTGATTTTTCTTTTAAAAAAACTGATTGTAATAGAGTTTTTCACAGAAGCGTTTAAAAAAGCAAAGTCAATATTTCAATCTCAAATGAGACTTCAGTTGAAAAAAAAACTCCAAAAATTCATCTCAACACCTATTAACCCGGACTCTCTTTGATTACGTTGGGGAATGGCTGAAACAGTTTATCTGAAATCGATCTCATAAAGGAAGACACTACTAAATTCTTCAAAATTATTTTAACCAAAATACTTTCTCAATGAGTTTGAATTGAATTTTTTATAGGTAATTTCGTCAAGTTTTCGTTTTGTGCCAACTTTTAAAGAAAAAAAGGAAAGTAAAGAAAATTCCCCCCGCTCTGTTTCTTTTTCACAAATTTTTGAATGTCAGATTAACAGCTTGTGATATTTTATAATTTGTTGGTGATGTATCTCACATGACTTGAGCTAAAATTCGAGAAAGTTGTTTATAACATGTTTTTAGATACTTGATCAAAAAAATTTTGGCGCTGGGCATTTTATTTTTGTGCTTTAGTTTCTCCCCTAAAACTTAAAATAAATAGTTGATAAAGCTTTTCTACTATCAATCTGATATGGTTCAAAAAAGGTTCTTTGTCCATGATTATTAAGATGAAAGCTTTTCAGCATCACAAACTGTGTTTGAAGTGTTTGATGAACTGTGAAGATGAAAATGAAACTTGAGGATGAAAATGCTGAACAAATTTTGTCTTTATGTTCACGGAAGAAAAATTTTTTTTTGAAAATTTGCTACTGTTTCAACCCGTAGCAAACTTTTTACCCCCCCAGAGAGTGAAGTGTCTTAACTACTATTACTAATAGGTTTTTAAATCTGGTTGCCAAAAGCTTACAAAGGGTCTCCCTTTGGTACTATTTCAAGGCAACCAATTCCGGCTGACCCATCCTAAAGTTTTCGTAAAAGTGCATTTAGCACCAATGTGCAGTCGGAACAATCAGGATTTTGCCTTTTAATATTAGCATTCGTGTCTCTGTTTTTGTAGTTTATTTGCACCGTTTTAGGTCATTTACACTAGTTCGAAAAATGCTAGTTTATTAGTCATTTACGGCGGCATACCCACATAAGCTCATATACTACTTTATCTAGCTGCGTCCCAAATTTGTTTATAATCAGAAAAAATTGTTTTATTATTTGGCGACATAAATTAATTTTCTGCAAGCACCTTTTGCGTATTAACTGACCTTAACAACATTTCCAGTTTGTTCCTCAATTCATGGACCATTTTTTTCAATTATGGAACGATGATGAGTTTCAAAATTTAAGTGCTTTTATATAGTTAGATTTTTTGTATTATTTTCTTAAGGAATAGATAGTTTATAAATTGATATGCACAGCCAATTCTCTGATGTAATGACATTAAACAAATTTATGCCCCTTGGAGCCCAAATTTCAAGATGTCGGCGCTACTGTCGCAAGCTGACATGAATTCCGTAAAATGCTAATTTTGTAGTAGATTGCCTCTAGATTCTTGTTAATAACATCTTAATTCAGCGCTTGAT